TTATAAACAATTTATGTATTAATCATTTACTTGCTTATTTAAATTTTAGTTAAGTTTTTTTTTATTTGTACATTTTTTAAGTTTTTGTCTCTTATCGAGCAGAGCAATGTCAATTTAGGACACCGTGGTCTGTTTCAAGTTTTTTTTTTTTATTTTATTTTAGCTAGTTTTTGTAAAGTCATATCTGCATGTCACATATGATTCATGCAACGTTTGGACGTATGACAGATAATTATTAGTTACGTGAACGTGTGTATGAATGATCCAACCGGTAAAACAAGTTTCAGTATTGCAATTTGAACTTTCAATATTAGCCTACTATCACGGCTTGCGAGTTTATTGGTAGGTTATCGTCTTATTAAATATTAACACAGCTTTCAGTACTTTATTGAACATAAATATACAAAACATAAAAAATAAATTTTACAAACAAAAATAATAGTGCGCAGACGTAGGGCCTGTGGTGGGGAATATTGGAATCAAAAACGATCGCAGAGGGTGTTTTGGTTTTGGGGCGTGTGTGGAGGGGTGGTAATGGAAAGAAAAGCACAATAGAAAAACATCAAGAGGAGAAATGCACCGCCCAAATCGAATTTCCACGTCTGAATTGACTGTAACAAGCCATTTCACGACCTTACCCGTCGCTTAACTCCGCCGTTTTCTATTGTTCAATCATAAAAACGAATTTGACTTTCAAATTGTAGCCCCGACGTTCCAGCGGGAACCCAATTACAGTTGACGGCGAGTGTGAGGGTGGACCATCGGAATATTGGCTGGGCCCGGAGGGAGAGTGGTGGAGAGTGAATTGACAACTTTCCATCAAAATGGAAACTGCTGAAGAGTGGATGTAAGGGAAAATGTGATTTGATTAATTAGCAAGTACTTTCTGTTTGTATCCAGCAGGTATCTTTTAATACGGACTTTTCACGTTCACTTATTTTTGGGGCCTGTGCGTGAATGTATCCATGAAAGCAAGAGGTGAACTACATATTCTTTATTATGTAGTACAGCACAAGATAAAACTACTGATGAAATTAGGTAGACCATCAGGACCCGAATCCTCGCTGTTATGGATTCCTGCATCGAACTAACTAGCGAGGTACCGACTTTAATTATATTACAGTTTATACAGTTATTTTTTCGTTATTTATATCAACCACCATTTTACAAAATATTACGTATTGGCAGACACAAGAGCAGCAAATAAGAGTGTTCATTCCACACAGAAACAACAGTACTAAGTATTGATCAACAACATCATGATAACAAGAATAATGACAAAACAAAAATAAGAATTAAAAAATCCATATGCTTGACCCTTGAAAGTTTTGGATTGTTTGACTTTAGTGGGATAGAAATATTTTCATTTAATTATTCAACACGGATTTTTATGAATTTTGAATAACAGGTTGTATTTGAGCGAGCAATTACGGAACATTTTTAATGGTAAAAACCATATAGATATGATTTTAAGCCCTCAGTCAGACAGAACAGTCCTATGCTTTCATTGTGTGAGAGCTATGTATGCAAAATAATCCTGCTATGGAGATAATTTTTGAAAAAGTTATGGACTACGTTAAAGTTGAACGAAATACATATGAGTAAATTCAGAAAGGAATATCATGATATTTTCTTGCTTGTCTATAATGAACGGAACCTTTCATTACTTTAGTTGAACGAGAGCTACTCGTATTTTATCACCTAGAAACGCAAAATACTAACTGGAACAGTATCACGACGTCTTACAGAGCTTCTAGCAACGCATTTTAACTATTCAAAACCTCATGTATTATCGCAATGCGGATAATTTAGTTTATTCGAAATTTTAAGTAATTTTTTAAGTATAGGATAATTATTACTTGATATATTCATATTAATTTGTAGTAACGATCGATTTTAATAGTTTAGTTCAAATTGTATACAGTACACATTTTTTGGGCATTTGAGATTTTTATATCAAATACAAGGTACTCAAAAACGATTTAGAAAATTACTAACTGAGCCATTTAAAATAAACAGGCTACATAATTCGTAAATTAAAAAAAAAAATTAATTCATTAAATTGTCTGTTTAGAATCGGTTTGTATCACAGAAAAACTATAACATTCACTGAATATGGTCAATAAAAATCCACCCCAACCTCCAAATAAAAACTTACAACACAAACATTTACGAATCCCTGCATTAAAACCCGTAACATCGTTTGGAGCATGCAAACTTTAAATTAGGGTGGTAATACGAGAAGACAGTCAGGAATCGGGGTCGGGCAAAAATAAACCGAATTGATTGGAATATGGTCTTATGCGAAGAGGAGAGCATAAAATGCGGTGAGCAACCCCCGACAAGTCGGGGTCGGGAAAAATATCAGCATTTGTATTTATCGTTTATCTTTTGTCGAGGGGTGGGTTGTACCCCTCCCCCCCCTCGCGCCCAAACCCACCCTAAACCCTAACCCTGGGTGCTTCGATACGCGATTATACGAAATTATTTTCTTCACGAATCAAATCGCGAGTTTTCGCAAACGTCGCCGCAACTTATTGATGCAATTTCGCCAATCCGCTTAGCATTAGAGAAAGATTTCCTTACATGTCGGCGAGCCGGGTTTATTGAATGCCAATTGCGTTTTTCTCGTTCCACGACGGGTTTGAGGCGGTGTAAAGATGGATATTTATAGAATCGAATTGAAAAATTAGTAGTGATTATTGATGTCGGAATGACCACTCTATTATTCTGATATTCAACATGCATTTAGTTGTATCTTTGACTATTGAATAGTCGATTGTATGTTTGTATTTTTAATTACTTGTTTTAATTCATTTCTTTGACGTAGTTTCCCTAATTTTCTGATTGAAATGTTTTAACAATTTAAACAAAAAGCTTTGCAAAATTCTCGATACTGGTGAAATACAAAGTGAACCACAACAATTTACTCCAAAAATTGAATATTTTATAAAATGTCTTTACATTTTAAATGCAACGAAATAGTCCCTGTTTGGACAAACAACGCTAAAATTGAATGAGAAAGCATGATTGGATCATAACTTTTCAATCACAGTAACAGGACTTAACAGAACTTTCTATCCTTTGCTGTTTGTACACAAAAATATACATTTAAAAAACTTGAAGACTGTTAACTGTATATGTACCGAGGGGGGTCAGTTGTGTTTCTTTTATTACGTTTTCCCAAATCAAAAGTATTTTACGTTTGCACTAAGCCAACAGCTGACAAATATTTTGTGTCCATTAAGCCCATCCAAAAACTGAAGTGGTGTTTTGCAGTCAATGGATAAAAATCTATAAGCAATTGTGAAGGTTGTTTTCTACATTACTTTAAATGCCTACAATGTCACGGCGAAACCGCTCAGACATAATAAACTCCACAATTTCCTCCAGTGAAACCAATGCTACGAATAAAAATCCGACCTAAACATGCAAACGCTGACTCATCAGAGCTTCTGGTAGTTAAAACAGAAACGTCCCGTCGCATAAAGACTCTAAGGAGAAAGCTGAAATAAAATTAAAGAAGGGGAAGATGACAAACGGTAAGTGGTGAAAACGAATGCAGACTTTATGTTTTGTTTTTTTAACGGGACAGACGACCATCCAAGGAATAAAATCGTATCAACCGCTATTCCCCACAACCTAAATAATCCCACCTAATTGTCACAAAGGGGGATAAAAAGTCTTGTTTATGTGAAGTGGCGCCGTAGCGTGCAGAGCCCTTCACATATCGAGCCCTTCAGATTTATATTGCCATCGAATCAAGCTACATACAAAAATACGCCCGGTTGAAAAATGTTACATGACAAATCAGTATAAATATTAACGGAGACTTATAGTGTACCGGGACCGAGATATGGAAATCGGAGACATCTTTTCGGTGTACCGAACCCATTCGGAGTTCGGAGCCCTGCACCGCTTACCTCTAATGTCTCCGGAATATTTTTGAATTATTTAAATCTCTGTTCGTTTTTCCTTCGCGTCTTTTTTTGCTGTGACTTGTTTTAAAATAGAGAGAGACATGACGACATGCTATATCGGTGGATATGACTTGAATTAGTTTACCTCGTGTTATGTGTTTAAAGTTAGTGTTCCTTTTATCTTGCATAATTTTGCAGTTTGAATTTGTCTTATTTTGTCTTTTGTCTGGGAAGCAAGTTTTTATTAAACTATTTCCTAATAGTCTACATTCATACCGTGATGTGACATAATTTAATATGTATCTTAAGTAATACAACTTTGCATACAGCATTTCTTTTGTTTATTTTTCATCATTATTTGAAAATGAGTGAGGTAATATAAATATACTCTCCTATAATCTAATTTATATAATACTTGTGAACTTAAATTAATTTTTAATTTGTATAATAAAAAAGGTTCGTATCAGCTCCTACTAATAGTAGTACGACTTTCAAAATCCTTAAATGATCGTACAAAACCTCTCATAAAGAAAATGCTGTTGGCATGTAGAGAAAATATCGGATGGAATAACACCATCAACTGTATGTACTGGTGCACACACCCTAACATCTTCCTTTGGAGAGTGACCTGGAGTATTGGTAGTCAATGCTCAATGATCGAAGTAATACCAACCCAACCCCAACCCTCTAGCTGAAGTAAAGTAAATGTTTCCAGACTAGCACTTAGCGTCCTAGTGTGTAAAGGTAATACTTAAACTTTATCCTTCTTCTTCCTCTCACTCACCTGGGCGAGGGCCTCTGGCAGGTTCGCTCCAACTCTCTGGCAAATACTCTCTCAACCTTAGCCTGAAGTAACGTAAACTGTTATAGACTATAGCTTTGCATCCTCAGAGTACTTACACATTTCCTTCTTCTTCCTCTCACTCACCTTGGCAAGGACCTCTGGCAGGTTCGCTCCAACCCTTCAGAAGATACTGTCCCAACCCTCTGCCCTAGCCTGAAGTAACGTAAACGGATACAGACTACCACTTAACGTCCTAGGGTGTTAAGTTAGTACATAAACTTTTCCTTCTCACTCACCTGTACTCGGACCTCTGGCAGATTGACTTTCATCGCTAACTCCTCTCGGCTGTACACATCAGGGTAGTGAGACTTCTCAAAGGCCCGCTCCAGCTCGTGCAGCTGGTAGGTGGTGAACGTCGTACGGTTCCTCCGATGTTTCTTCTTGTCCGGTGACATGGGGGCTCCACCCCCTCGGCTGCTGGACACTCCGGACCCCTGGTCTCCTGGGTTCCCGAGGACTCCGCCCCCGTCGTCGTCACTGTCCTCGCGATACCTCCGGTCTAGGTCTGTGTTGACTGTGAGAGGCGCGTCCGAGGAGTTGCAGCTGTTCTCGCCTGGAATGATTGAAAGATTAGTTAAAATTGAAGATTTTCTATTTTACACACAACATCATTAGTAGAATTATTTTTAGGAGTCTAATCTGAAGGTATCATAGTCGTGCTGCGGTTGAATTTTTCACCAAACCGTCATAACAATTTGATTCAGCACAAACTTATTATGTTACTCTTTCTTAAGGATCACTTGTATATTTTTTAGCTATAAGATCAATAAATTATGGGTGAAACCCTTTCATATATAGATTGCAAACAAATTTTGAAATCGTAAGGTGTTTCATGATGGGAGTGTTTGACAATCTTTTGCAAGTATGCCAAATGTTTAAAAATGTTAATGTTTGTCATTGAGCTGACCTAAGAAAGTGTGTTGATTTTATTAGTTTCGTGTATTTTGTTATGAGAATCAGTTTGTGAGAGGTGTGTTTCGGAGGTTGGTTCACTATTGTGGAAGCTTGAGTCATGGGTAAGGTGATGTTTAAGTTTTTAATTCCTTATATTTTTTAGTAATAGTCAAAACTCTCCATACAACTGATTTGGTTTTCATCATTGATCGTTTGCAGTCTACTTCATTACAGCCCATGCATACATGAAAATGAACCAATATGTAGGTCCCGGGTTCTAGTCTTACGATGAGGCCTGAAATAATATATTAATTCCCTATATCGGAATTTGTTAAAATATCTCACCCTTCAATGATGCAATTCAATCAACCCTAGGAACCATTTAAAAGATGACTTATGATCGATCAACTTAACTGAATGATTTTCATCTTATACGTTTTATTACGTCATGTGCTCCTACCATCGATGGCTCCTACTGACCTTTGCCTTTATGTAAACTTTCCATCAGCTCCATAATATAAGCTTGCCAACCTAAATCTATCTCTCTATCGTGCACGTCGGCTCAGTCTGTCCTATGTCAAAGTCACTCGCGGCGGCAAGGCGGCGCGCGCTGCGACAGTGGGTTTTGCTAATGGACTTGTCAGCAAATATGACATCCTGGAAGGATTAATTATACTTCAATTATCTAAGGTTACGACCCTACGGATTGACACCTTTCGAAATTTTTACTCAATCTGGAGGTGTCGACTTTGTTCTATTGTTTGCGGCGCAAAATGTAAATGTTTTATTCCGAAACCACGATTGCTTTATTATGTGAAGTATGAGATTATATTATAATGGTTGTTTGAAGGCTGTTGGTTCAATCCTGGGAAAAGTCAATAGCGTTGTTATATTAATGAACAACACATCAGGGTTAAGTAAATAAGAGTTTACACTAGTTAGGTTTGCTTCAATATTCTTGGTTGATATTGGGATTATTTAAAAGAAAATCCAAATTCACCACACACACACACACACATTGAATCCTTATACTTTAATACTGTATACAACAATTAACTAGCATAAAAAAAACGTAAATACCTATTAAAACTTACATAAACAATATACATGCAATAAAGAGTTATCATTGACAATATTCACTTTAAAATATACACAAACCATATCTTCTCAGAATCGAACTAATTTAATTCAAACACCACTCACACTGAATAACACAGGTTAGAAACGACCAATCAACACAACAAGAAAATAGCTCAAAGCCACTATCACATTGGGAGTCAGACTCAAAGCGGGTGTGGTGGCAGCAATGTCCGGCGTCAACAGTTTTTCAGCTGCACAGTTGGCCAAACTGTAATGGCTGTGATTGAGCTGGTAATTGCTTGCTAACCTGTTTACTCCGTGCAAAGCGTTCATTGGCTACTCTGCACTATCACGACTCCACTGTCCCACTGTCTGTTGTTTGCCTAAACTGATTGCAGCCCAGACAAATTAACTGAGGGCGTTTGGAGGACATGCTTTATTGGAACCTAGATTTTCTGACTCGAAAAGTAAATTGATCGATGAGTAAAGTGGTGGGATCCATTAGGCTTCGGTAAATTATTTTGATTCAAGTTCTGTTCAACTAGGTTTGTTTTACATTGTATTTAAGCAATTATCGTGCTACTAAAGGATTTAAATTTAGAATCTTCTCGAATAATTAAAACAGAAAACTATTTTAAAATCTGCTTTGCCCATTATTACAATTATTTACTTTAAATAATTATGTTCCGTACGTTTTTTAAATGATTTTAAAACTCACTCAGGCCAAGTTATATTTAGAATTGATCTAAATTAATCCAAATTGATCCATAAAACATGACGCGATGTCAATTACTATGTTATTCATATGTAAATGGAGATTCTACAATCGACATAGTTCACAAGCATTTTAATGTTAATTCCAAATTGGTATCATACCATAAAATCAGTTAGGAATAATGTATTTTACTTATTTATAAACAAAAATTATTGTTTACCCAGTTAACAAGCTCGAGTAAAGATACTAATTTTGTAAAGGCACATTTACAAAAGGGACTTATTTGGTCAAAATGATGATACAGATACTAAATATATGACAGTTTAATTGTATTTACTGTCAAGCAAAGAAAGCAATAAAAATAGATCGGTTATTTGGAAACTAGCATTACACTGTTTGGAACATCAACAAAATTTAAAATTGTACAGCTCATTTACAAATTTGTATAGCTCTTTGGGGTACTTTGGTAATACACTGACCACAACTATGGATCAACTTCCAAATGATATTTTAATTAGTTTAACTAACAAAATCTTCCTAACCTAACCTAAAACATAATCCACCCTTAGGTTGGGTTAGGTTAGGTTATAATTATCATATTGTGGTTGGTATAATACCAAAGCACTCTCTTTGGATGCATAGGTTTAAGTTGTTATACTTAAACTTACTGCTATGTACATTATTGACTTAATCCATTTTTACTTGGCTTGTCCAGTTTAAATTAACACGACACATCCACCAGAGCGCGGTGCGCGGGAGTTGAGCATAATTAACACGTGTATACGTTGTATCGACAACAGGCACAGTCAATTAGGCCGGTCCCTCCTCTCAGATCTAGACGTCTTATCTTAAAAGCATCGCGCCGTCGCAGACACTAGGCATGCGCAGTGACTTGTTTAATTGATGCATTAGCGCGGCCCCGCCCACCACGCCAGATTAAACATTTTATTAACTCTCGCGGCCCCATTACAACTACCTGCGCAAACATATCATCTGCCCCACTTTTTGTCCCACTCAAATTAACTAAGTTTTTTGTTTTGGTTTTTTCGGTTGGTTCTTAATGCATTACGGAAGATCGTAATAAAAGGTCTGTGAAATGGATTTCGGGGAAAAGAATCCACATAGAAGAGATGTTGGATCCATTTGTTAAGATAAACGTTTTAAAATCGTAACAGCTCAGTTTACTGTTTATGATTTGTTTAAACGTCAACTACTGTGATAAACATATAGATATACAATTTATATAATCCGTGTTCTCACCATGGTATGTTACCGTATCGTTTAGCTTTACAACTAGTTGTTTCCAGTTAATAATATTAACTATATTTCAATATCATTAAACAAATATAAATAACCTTTTAACTTATCACTACGAAAAAAAGAAAAAAAACTTTTAAAAGCTAAACTTTTAATTACAATAAATAAAAATGTTAAGCTCGATTCGGTTTTAATAAAGGTTCTAACAGAGTAGGCTTACAGAATACTGACTTACAGACCAGTTAAAATTGTCATCTTACTTTTAAAATGTCAAATGAGAAACTCTTCCCATAATATTTTTTTTGTTATGGCAAAAGCGATTCGACATAGGAACTGTCGACGTTTGAATTTTAGGGGAAAATTTCCTTCTGATGGTTCTACGCTTAATTGGGGCAGTAACACTCGTTTCCAGCCGAACTTCCAGTAACAATTTCAAGATTTCGGACTTTGTTATTCATCTCTTCACCATTAATCTGGTTCCATTAACCAGCCCTTTTTGTGGATATTTGTGGATCCTTGGTAAAATTACAATTACACCTTTTTAAAGGCATAATTTGCGAGGAGGTAAACCCCTTGGTGGTAAAGTGTGAAGAAATTCATCAGGTACGTGTAACTGGTCTCCCTCTTCTTGAATCAAAGTGTCCACTGAATAGTAAACTCGACTGTCATCATTTAATTGCTCAACTATTTTATTATTAATTTCGTCACAATGTTCATTCTTTGGTGAAAGTATTGCATGATTTTTGGTCTTTTTTAAAGCATCTTTAGTCGCAAGTCTTTTAAAGCAAGATTTTGTCAATGATATTTTCATTCACAATTGTGGTGGAAGACGCATCAATGAATCACCAAGATCATTATGATAGCTCTCATGGCCATTCCCTATTCGTAAAAGATATTCAGCAAATATTGATTCTCTTGTATTAGCTCTCATGTTTTTAGCAAGTGAAATATTTTTAAACATTGGCCATAAAGGTGATCTATCCATTTCATCAGTCATCATTATATTTGAAAGTAAACTGATAAATAAACATAAAAAGTAAATATTAAAATGATATAAGGGAAAGAGATTATTTTTATGAAGACAGATGTTTTTAAAAGGAAATGAATCATATGTTTGATAAACTTAACTAAATTTTCACTTATATTTAAAAATACATGGAAACTTTAAAGTCCGATGGGGCGAAGCACATTGAACTGAGCGTAACAAAAATTATTCCATGACTTCTACAGATAATTCCCTTTAATTTGACACATCAAACATCAAAATCGGTTAATAAATAAAAGAGTTTTGCTGTGCACAAGAAATTCCTTACGGAATTAGAATAATAGATAAAGCCAATTTTTACAATTTTAAGGAGAAACATACAAATTTGGGTTTTGCTATCGGTGAACTAGATGTCCTAGGGAAGCTCCCCAAGTTAAACTAAGGCAGAACATGAACACATCAATCTGTGTTCTAGCATTTTAACTGTTTCAGTTTTGTCAAATATCTAAAAAGAAAAAAAAACAGTTATCCCAATCATATTCGTCGTTTTGTTTGTTCTGACCAATATTATATAATTGAGTTTACGATGGAGCTGAAATTAAACCAGAACACATTAATTGCA